AGAAACAAAATATTTAACTCACCAACCAATGGCAACACAAGAATCTCACTAGGAATACCAAGTTGCCTATTTGTATATACTGGTATGTTGTTATTACCTAACCTCACCACTTTGATATCTGCGTCCCATTCTCCAGTTACCAGATAAAAACTGCATGGCACCAAATCCGAACATGAAAGTTGGAGCAGCTTTCTGGTGATTTAACTTGCCGCTTGCTCCTCTGGCCTCTCTCTTGGGCAATACTCCCCAATATCTCAGGGCACCCTCCATGAGCAGCGATTGCCCTCACCTGCACCAGAACCCGTCCCTAAAACACACCTCTGTCTATGGATATTGATACCAGATATGTACCAACCTCACCACACCACAGCACATCTCCGATTCACGTACAATATGGTTCTGCACTTCAATGCTGCACTTTGCAGCACAACTGCACCTCTTGTTGCAATGTTACTGCCAGGACACTTTGCACACAGGGACAGGCACTATCGAATGGGCCAGGGTGCATTTCATGGTTGCTCAATTGCTCTCACTCACCTTGTGTCCGCTTGGATACTATGCTTTGCATTGCCTTTTTTGCAATTTACCCCATCAGCCAGAGCTTAAAGGCTCAGGGCACTTCTGAACTGCCTTGGTGTTTAGCAGACACAAAGCCAAGCAACTTGTCATGGTTACCAGCAGTCATCAGTCACATTCTGCATATACTTAAACCAGGTGGCCGTGTCTCAAAGCCTAAGGGAAGTAGCCCTCAGTTAGGCCAAGGAGGACAGCATTCACACAGATTTTCACAGTACAGCAAGCCAAAGGCAGCATCTTACATCAGTCCAGGGGCTTGGGCAGTCGGGGATAAGGTATCAATAATCATACACCACTGACAATCTCATACTGTAATTGTGCAACTTGGCTTCCGTTACATTTATCAGAAAAAGGTTCCTATGTTGAAGAATTCCATGGCTGTCCTTGATGGAGTCCTCCATGTCCCATTGTATGGAAGAGTATGCTAAAATGTCAAGGGCCAGGTGCCTCACAAGCATGGTTACTGAGGGACGAGAGCTACCTTCTGGAACCATGGCTGACAAATCGATTATGCAGGCACCTGACTAAGGCCAAGTGTAGATACAATACAGATCAATCTTCAACCAGAGCCACTGTGGTGCAGATCATGAGCCTCCTGAAGATAAGGTTCCAATACTTGGATTGGTTTAGGGGAAGCCTTGCAGTACATTCCAAACATAATGTGTCACACAATCCTAGCATGCTGTGTTCTACATGATTAGTGCAAGCTAAAAGGGGATGTGATGGCCTGTGAAGAGCTGGGAGAGCAGCAGCTGTCCTATGAGGAGGAAGATGAATACATTGAGCAGGAGAAAGAACACCCTCAACATGATAGAGCCATGCAACATCGGGCACAACAAACCAGACTGGACTTAATTGGCACCCACTTCCAATAGATAAGAGTTGGATAAGATTATCATTCACTGACTGTAAGTTATTACTGCTCAAAAGCAAGCAGTCCTGTCTGTTCCCAAATACTGCTTTTGTTTATATTTTCTTCATTTTTGCTGTTGCTGAATAGAAGTAACAGTTTTCAACCATTTGAAGACTTTTCTGTCTGTGATGGTCCCACATTGAACAATTAGAAGATATTAGACTACACTGGGCGTTGGGGGAAAAGAGATGTACTTTCTTAGATAGGATGATGGCAAGGTCAGGCAACCTGTGCGGCTTTAGTTCTTAAATTGCAATACATTGACAAATGTGCAATGATATGTCCGCCATGCCACTGTTGTGCCCTGCAAGATGTTTCTTTTGGTTGCTCTTCCAGTACATGCACAATGAGGAACAACTCTTGGCTGGCAATACTTGACCACATGCATGGTTGGGTTTTAAAAACGGCACTGCCATCGGAAATCCAGCAAGTCCCTGCAATCTTGAGTACTTCCACCTTTGGCAAGAGGGAAGACAGGATAAGCAATCTGCCATAGACTGGTGGTGCCGAGGTAATAAGACAAGCTTCAGAGAATAGCATGAAAAATCTCACTAGCAAGAAATCGTCCATGAAACTCATCAAAACTGAAACTTAGGTGATTTTGGGTAAAATTCAGTCCATAGGATCAATCTTTGCTCTATGCTAAGACAGTTGATGTTCAGTAGGAATGGCAATAGAGGCTCTACAATTCATATTAGCATTCCTGGTGTAGGTAAAAAGTTACATAACTTATGATTTCTGGTCACTCTCCTGTGATCTTTATCCAATAACTTCTGTTGCACTCAAGATTAGGACAAGATTATGCTTAGCTATGAAGTGATTCACACATAAATACAGACAGTCATTTGGGATGAATTTTCCCATGGGGCTTCAAAACCTCAACGCTGAGACCAAAGAGCTCCTCAACCCAGTGATACAATCTTCTAGGGGGTAGGCGCCAAATCGATTGCCTTCCCATTCATCATCCTTAGTATATACCAGAAGATGCTGGCCCAATCAGAGGGGCAGCAGCTCTGAAGGCCCCATGGAAAAGGTGGGCACTGTTGAAGCAGGTGGGCACTGCAAGAATGCTATAACATGAAGAGGATTTTGATGGCCATATCGAAGGTTTCAGTGAAGACTCTTGAATCCTTTGGAATGAAGGAGAAACCCCTCTGCAGCCCTATGCATTGGCCTGTTCCCAGCGGTCTACCTCAAACAAACGGTGGCCTCAGCACATTGCAAGAAGTCAGTTGTGTTTGTAAAATGTCCGCACTTGCTCAAAATGATTCTGTTTGGCCTACCTCCAATCAGCCAAATTGGTTCCCAGCCCACCTTGGTGAAGTTACCCAGACGTGCAAATGCATCAGGAAGGTGTCCCTACACGGCTGTCCACTATTTCTCCAATTCTTCCCTCACCTGCTGCATCCAACTTCATCTCCACTGTGCTTAAAATATCCAGCACAGTGTCTTGACTCAACATGAAGAATGGCTAATTGGCAAAAGTGCGAACAGTCTGCTGATGCCTGTGGATCCATACTTCAGGACAGGTCAAGGGTAATATTCATGAGAACAGGGGAAGAGATCCAATCAAGCTAAGGACAGCTGTAACCAACATCCCAGATTGCTATGTTTAAAACACAGGCAGTTCAACTAACTCTAGCACTGCTACTTCAGTTGCATACTGAATTAAAAATTAGTAATTAGTTTGTACGAAACTGCCATTGAGCTCTGTGGAAAAGTAAAAGCTTTCATATACAAATATTTTAACCATAAATCTTACCCAGAAGTGCATTTTTGCTTTAGCTCCTTATAACTAAAACTAATCTTAAATTTAATGGAAACAAATTCAAAACTCTCAGTCCTGGAGTACTGATAGTAATTCTTTGATCATGTACCACAAATTACTTTTTCCCCTCCCCGCTGACTTCATACCTACCATCCTCTTTACATTCATGATCTTTTACTTGTGTACTTAGTTAAAAACAAATTCCTAAATTGATAAAGTAATCAAACTCATTGAAGAAATAAATCTTGAAATATCTAGAAGTTTAGTACAATATTTAAAATAACACCATGGTCACATTGATGGGAAATTTAACAGTTTACTTTGGGCATCCACTATCAGCATGGAGTACTCCTATGTTTTATACGCAGTTAAAGTCACCTCACAAACGAAATAAACGTTCAATTCAACAAACAAGTTAATTACATCAGCAAACAGAAAATGTTGGAAACAGGGTTACTTAGTATCAGTAGAGTTAATATATCCTTTTATCTTCTTCAGAATAGAAAATAGATTAAAATTCTTGTTCATTACTATACAGAAACAATGGATGTTTGACAAGGCAGTCATTCAAATTTCATTTGTTCTCCCAGTAAAAAAGAGAGCATTCTTTCAGCAGCGAATACAACATACTTAATACAGTAAATACAACATATTTATCTTCCAGTACTGTCAACAAGTTTCCATTTTAAAGTTTAAACATTCTTTTCTGCTTTGAGTCACTGACTAACCTATCCTACTTTTCCCACTTTTACTGTTTTATTTTTGATTTTTAGTTTTTCGTTGTCACAACGATTACTTATTTAGTTGTGGGAAGTTTAAGGGCATTATCTTCAATTTCATTACTTCTTCAGTTAGTTAAAATGCTGGACTTTAGTAATTACCAAAACATGCAAAACCAAATGGCAGTTCAAAAGTATGCCTGTGCTTCTTTGATAGAAACAGAGCAGAAGTGACAAGCTATAAAGACAGCTGATGGTTGATTTAGCCAAGATGTAGTGGTTGCAAAGATTACCATAATGGCAGTCCAGGAGGAGTTAGAATTAAATTAGCTTAAAATCATTCAATAAGTTCTAAGTGTTTGGTTACCTACAGTGTTACTAACGTGGGGGTGGAGAAATCTGTGGAATGTGCCTTAAAGACCTGTGATATTTGATGTGCTCTGTGTGGTGTACAATCACACTTTGTTACCCATATTTACCTCATGTTAATTCTGGGTGTTAGCGTGGAAGTTCTTTTATAAATTGTAAATTATTTCACTGTTCTGACTTTGTTTTTGTAAAGTTTATATTGATTCTTCAAAACCATATTATCTCATGGATTTATTTTCTTTGGAAGTACCTGGGATCTCAAACTTTTCCTATATTAAACAAAAAAAAGTTACTATTCCCAGCCAGTAATGACTGAAATTTGTTTGTTTTGTCAACAATCATGACTGTTTGCAGATACCCTTACAGTGGAGCTCAACCGTGCTCCTTCAACTTCCCCACTCTAGTATTTTACGGTAGGAATGGATATATAGAAAATTAAGAGCTAGGTACAGAAACCCTACTGCTACCTTGATGGAGGATCAATTATCCCAGCACATACCCAAGATCAAATATAAGACTGTTGTTCTGTATGGTTCTGCTCCACTCTGAGCAGTGATTACTAATTGAGCATCAGATTTAACAAAAAGACTTACCAAGGAAAATAAAAGCCAACAACTTCTGAGCATTCTAAGAGATTTTTTTCAAATTAACTTACTGAATGGTGAGAAACATTTGCCCCTACATTGAGGTTCTTGAGCAGCTGTGGTGAACTGCCATATTGGCCAGAAATCTGCTTCCTGACTTCAGCTGCTACAGTCCTAGATGGAAGAAAAATATTCTACTTCAGTATATTGTATCAGGAATCTCAAGCATATCGTAGTATCCAGGTTAGATACAATACACATCAACATTTTTGTTAAAGTTCTACAATACTATGGCAGGGTAACATTAGAAATTACACCATGAAATTTGACCTGTGGAGTACCTGGCCTCATGTATAAAACAGGGGTATTCTAAACTCCTGCTTAGAATATGTATCAACTTCATGTGACATAATAAAAAATGAAGGTTAGCAAATATAACACTTATTGTAGAAACAATGCAACTCAGAATTCTAGAGAATTTAATCATTTACATGTGGGTCAATGCAAAGTCTTTAGAAAAAAATGTTTTATAAATTAAATTTAATTTGATGTAGAGGAGATGATTTGCAAAGCCCTTGCTTTTCTGGTGGAAACCCAAAACTATTCAATGCCTTTGATAAGTCAGGGATAAATGCATTAGTTATTGTGATATTGAGTCAAACCACCCGAGAAAGTTCTAAGTTTGATTCTGCTCTTTGGTGAATTAACTGGTGTTAGGTTGGGTGTCAAAAATATATGATTTGGGAGATATTTTGATCTTGATCTCAATGGCTATTTGGGAAAGGTGTAACTCTGAATTAGAGAAACGTACTGTTGTCCTCTACTCAGCTAATTTCTCTAAACTACATTTGGATAAAACTCTTCCCTATCATCTAGTCATTATTAGAATTATTGGACGAAATGATGTTTATGTAAATCATTCTTCAAAGGCATTTTCTAAACTTTGATGTTAAAAGTTGGTTTGGAATGAGTTGCACTGCAATGCAAGTAACGTCAGACTTACACCACTTTACAGAATTATAACCTTTCAATGAGTGATAGAAGCTGAGAACCAGGAAGCAATAAGACAGAAATTGCAGGCCAAAATTGGACCTTCTTTTGTGACACCTTTTGCGTTCTAGAGTTTCGTGCAGATTCCACAAATGAAATTCACCAGTACAAGCTCCATGATCACTAATTTGCTTCCCAATTTCTGACTGCATTGTGCAAATTGCCATCGTTGCACAATCATCATTGTTTCATTTAAACCTTTGCATTTTAAAATCACATTTGTTAAGTAGAGTGACTCAAATAAAGATCCAATTTCTGCAAATTCTGAATATAGTACTATAAATTCTGTTCCTCCCCAAAGTTAAGTAATAATTCTGAAAAAATGTTTAGACATTATAATTTATAGATATTTAAACAGTCTTTAAGTCTTTCAAAACCTTGACATGAAACATTTTCAGTTAGATTTTAAAAATATTTTATCTATGCATAGATGCAGCATGTTTTATACTGACACTTGTTTTTTCCAATTCAAAAAGGGTATATTTTACAGACTGCCATGGAATTACAGATGATATTTGGCAATCCTTTAAAATCACTTGAGATTTAAGATTGTACTTTGGACTTCAATCATCTTTTTAAAACCTGCTCAAGATGACTCTTCATTTTCTTACCATATGTAAAAACTCATACTTTAATAGTTCAATTACTTTTTACACTTAATTAAGTTTCCCTGGGCGCAGAATAACAGCATTAATTGTGTACTGCAAAGGTTAACCAGGAATAACACGTCGTGTTTGCACCATTTACTCGTGTACCTTTTACTTAACATAATGTACACTGTTTATTGATACAGGATGTCACATTGCCTTTTATAATATTTAGTACACTGAAGAAAATTGCATCCTATTGAGTTACACAATGTCCATCATGGTACTTTCTCCAGTATTCTTCCATACTGCATTTCGGTTGCAGATTATATTTCACACCGTAGTGTTAAACATACAATGTGAATTACATCCCATCATTGTGCCCAGCGCTGCGCTTTCTGCCGAATATGTGTCACACCACATCTCCTCACATTACAGTGGGTTGTGTAGTGAATGTTACTATTGTATTAGATGCTGTTGTACAGAATTTAAAACCGCCCTGATTTAATCGCAATCAATCATTTATGAATCTTCGACTATTTCCATTTATTTGTTACAATTATATATATATATCCTGCATTTTAGTTTATTAGCTGCAGCACATTGGTCGTTACTCCTGCAATACGATACCCTGTGCCCAATGCCGGGGTTTTTATTTGCTCCTCTTGGGGGGGGGGGGGTGACAAAGGGGGGGCTACTTGGATTGGGCTGGGCAGCCGGGGGCGCTCAGGCCTCCACTACCGACCGCTCGCTGTTCAAGGGGCAGCTACGGTTCAGCGGAGCAGTCGGGAAGGGAGATCGTTTACCTGCTGATTTTCTGCGCGAAGGCGCGGCGCTCGGCCATTTGTACCAGCAGAAGAAGAACGAGCAGGGCGGCGGCGGCAAGAAATCAGAGCCCCCGGCCGGAGGACAGTGGAGGCTGGGGCCTCTACCGTAATACACCCAGGATTGCGACCTGTACCATAATACACCGACGACTGGAGCAATCGTCCACCAAGGAATGGTCAGAGATTCAGCGGAGGGACTCGCCCGCTGTCGTGTACTCTCGAGAGGTTGTCCCCATTGTTTGCACAAAGAAACAATAAGGATGAAGATACCACTACACATCAGAAGAAATACGGGTACTGCTGAATAAGAACTGTCCCTCCAGCTCCGACTGCGCCATCTGAGGACGTTAACTTTGTTTCTCTGTCCGCAAGTGCCTCCAGATCTGCTGAGTATTACCAGCATTTTCTGATTTTAGATCAACTTTACAGCATTTGAATGTTTTGCTCTTGTTTTAGAACTAGCAAGGAATTGGCCACAATTGACAAGTTTGACAAAGCGCCACAGAACGCTGTTGTCAAGGGTGTTGGAATAAAAGGGAGATAGTAGTATGGATACAAAATTGCTTGAGGAAACAGAGAGTAAAATTAATAAAAAGAAAAGAAAGCAACAGAAATAATTTAATTACTTAAAACTCATTAATGATATCAGGACAGATGGTATGTCAAGGCTGCAGCACGTGAAACTCCTAGATCCCATTGTGATTCAGAAAAAAATACATCTACACTATGAAGTTGAAGTCGGATCAGCTTTGACTCGACATGTGTGAGCTGGAGGCTGAACTACTGACACTGCAACTCGCCAAAGAAAGTTACCTTGATTCTTTAACCAAGAGGCTCTTACACCACCTAATTAGGATTTCCGGATCTGATCAGTGGACAAGAATAGGAGGATGTGATTATGAGCTAAACAAGTAGAGGGACCCAGTGGGCACGCATGTCAACCTCTGCAATTGACCAGTAGGTTTGAGGATCTCTTACCTGTTTGGATGAGAGCAAGGGCTGCAAGGTGGATAAGCTAACTGATCATGGCACTGAAAGCACTTAAAGTGTAAGTTGCACCAATAAATATAATAGTAATAGAGTGTACGGAATTGACACCATTCTCTGCAGCAAAATGCAGAAGTCCAGATAGCTGTGTTAACTGCCTGGTGCCAAGGTTGGAAAGGATGTTGCAGTGGGTGAGGTAGGATCTGATGATTATGGTCCATGTCGGTATCAATGAAATAGGTAGAACTAGAAACAAAGTTCTGCATAGAAGCAATGAAGAGCTCGGAATTAGATTGAAAGCAAAACATCAAAGAGCATAATCTCTGGATTATTACCTGAACCTTCTACAAATTGGCTTGGGATGTAAAGTTGGAGAGATGAATACATGCCTGAAAGACTAGTGTGGGCCACTGGTATTAATACTGTGGAAAGTGTTACATTGGGATTGTCTACACCTGAAGTGTGCTGGGACCAGTTTCTTGCTAATTATATAACTGGGGAAATGAAGAGAATTTTAAACTAAGTAGTGGGGGCAAAGAATCAAATGTGGAAAGATGTGGTAAAGCAAAGAATAGAGTCAAGGTAATGGAGGAAAATAATAATAAGGGAAATGGAGGATGGCAGGGATCATAGATTAGAATCCCTACAGTGCAGAAAGAGGCCAGTTGTCCCTTCAAGTCTGCACCAATCCTCTGAAGAGCATCTCATTCAGATTTACCCCTACCCTAATCCCATAATCCCATATTTATTACGGCTAATCCACTGAGCCTGCACATCCCAGGACCTAATGGGCAATTTAGTAAGGCCAATCCACCGAACCTGCGCATCTTTGGACATTGGGAGGAAGCCAAAGCATTCAGTGGAAGTCCACAAAGACATGGGGAGAATGTGCAAATTCCACACCGAAAGTTACCCAAGGCTGGAATTAAACCCGGATCCCTGACACTGTGAGACAGCAATGCTTACAACAATGCTACCCTGAGAGGGATAGAGAAAAAAACCTTAGCAATATACAATCAAAATGTTACAAAGATAATAAAAAGACAAAACTGAATATGTATAACATTCAAAGCAAAGTGAACAAATTGATAGTGCACATTGAAGTAAATGAACTGATTTGATAGCCTTTATGGAGACATGATTTTGGCATGATAAGGATTGGGTCCTGAATACTGACATTCAAAAAGTATAAGAAGCTTAGTAAAGGTGAAGGGTAGCACTGTAAATCAAGGATGGTAATTGTGCAATAGATAGACATGACTTGGTTCAGGAGATCTGGATGCAGAATTGGTTCAAGTGGAAATGAGGAATAGCAAGGGAAAGAAGTCATTTGTGGTGAGTCGTTTACAGGCCCCTAACAGTAACCACAATGTGGAACGAAGAACACAAGAAGAAATGTTGAAAGAAACAGAACGACAGTAATTGCCTGGATAGGGAGTTTATACCATGCTTCTGAGACAGTTTCTTTTACAGCAGCACATTCTGGAACTGGCCAGAGAACAGTTTATATTAGACTTGGTATTGTGTGATGTGACAGGATTAATTAATGACCTGTCAAGGTACCTTGGACAACAGCAACCACATTATGATTGAATCTAATATCCAGTTGGAAAAGGAAAATATCGGGTTTAAGACTAATGTTTTACATGTAAATAAGGACAACTATGTGGGCATAAACGCTGAACTAACGAATTGAAATGCCATAATGCTTTTCAGGAAAAACATATGCTGTGGATAAAGAGGAGCCTGTAGACACAATGTACTTGGATTTGCAGAAGGCATTTGATAAGGTGCCACATCAACGGTATTACCATGTATGAATTTTGACGCCCTGACAGAAAACAGATTGTTTTACAAGTTACATCAATGACGATGGACAAGAACAAAGACATGCTAGCTAACTTCATGGACAGCAACAAGATAGTTAGGAAAGTATGTTGTGAAGGAAGTTGTAGATAGATATAGTTAGGTTGAATGAGTGGGCAAAAATCTGGCAGAAGGAGTTTATGGTGAGAAAATGTGAAGTTCTTCATTTTGGCAGAATTTTGTTTTAAAAAAGCAGAGTATAACCTAAATGGAGAATGACTTTGAAATTCTAAGGTGCAGGGAGATTTAGGTGCTCTAGTATAACGGGCCACAAAACATGCAGGTACAGTGCATAATCAAGAAGACGAATTGGGTGTTATCATTCATTACAAGAAGAATGAACATAAAAGGATGTATGCTTCAGTGATATAGCGCACTGGTAAGATCACATCTCAAATACTATGTGCAGTTTTAGTCTCCTCATTTAAGGAAGGATGTGATTGCATGAGAGACTGCTCAGAGGAACTTTACTAGATTGATACATGGAATGGATGGATTGACTTATGAGGATATGTTGTATGGCTGGTTTACACTGGAACTTAGAAGATTGAGGGGTTATGTGTTGAAGTATATGAGATTCTGAATGGTCTTGACAACATCAATGTGGATAAAAACTTTCCTCTTGTGGGTCAGTCCACAACTGGGGGGCACTGCTTAAAAATGAGAATTTTATTCTCTCACAGGGTGTGCATCTTTGGAACACTCTGCCTCAGAGGGAGGTAGAGGGAGGGTTGTTAAATATTTTAAGGCAGAGTTGGATATTTTCGAAAGCCTTGCTAAATTTCATGCACATTATGCTAAATACACTATCCTCATCAGCCCTCCTTATGACCTTCTCAAATAATTCAATCAAAGTTAGTCAAACATAATGTTCCATCAATAAGGCCATGGTTGCTTGATTAATTTATAACAGACGATTTACATTATCATTCAGAAATTTTTCTAAACTTTACCCATCACTGAAGTCAGGTCAACTGACCTGCAATAATTCTATCTTTCCCTCTTAAATAATGGTGTAATGCCTGTAGCCAGAGATGTTTGGAAAATGATAATCAGACCCTCTATTATTTATATCCTCTCTTCTCAAAGCAGCCCTGGATACATTTCATCCAGGTCTAACAATTAATATACTTTCAAAGATACTAAAGTTCTTAATACTTTCTATGTCACTATGTTTATCTCATCCCTTCATTTAAATGTCTGCAAAGACAGAGACAAGTATTCATTAAAACCGAAGACCATCTTATGTCACCGGACACAGGTCACCATTTGATCTCAAGTACTTCCTGCTTATTCCTCAATTATACAAACAAGGAACAGGGGTAGACTATTCAGCCCCTCAAGCCTGCTCTATCATTTCATAAGATCATGGCTGATCAGATTGACCTAGTTTAATTGGCATCTTAAATTTCTTTTTTTGTTAGTTCTTTCTTTCTAAGAAACTCCTTCTTGTTTTCCTTTCTGAAAAAAAACTTCCAATGTTATTCCTGAAGTTGTTGACGCTCCCAGGATATTGTTCAGGATGTGTTAGATAAAATCAATAAATATTCCAACAGGACTTGCTTCCTATGTCAGCAAATTATTTGACCTTGGATAAGGCAGTTTGCCAGTCTGAAATTGATTGTCCCTTTATCTGACATTTACAGGTCTACATTTTGCAGTAGGCATTAATGGATTGCAATAAGGGCTGGCAATGCTGTCTGTTTTCCTTTCCTAGTCTGTGATGCTCATGAAATTCTTACCATGGCATGGACTGAGATTAGTGAACTCAACACAAGCTGAGGATCCATTTAGAACTTTCTGATATGGATGAGTCAGTGCTAAATTCATTAATTTGTCTAATCAATTAAGGTAAACATTGTAATAACTATTCGATATTCAATTCCAAAATAACGCGTTAGTGACATAAGCAATCATTTTCCAACAATTGAGAATTGATTCATGGTCGTCATTAGATTCTTAATTCCAGACTTTTTTAAAAATTGAATTCAAATTCCACCATCTGCCATGGCAGGATTTGAAGCCCCTGTTCCCAGAACGTTACCTGGGCATCTGGATTAATGTTCCAGCAATAATACCATTAAGCCAATACCTCCCCAATCATTTGTCTTCACCAAGTAAAGACAGCTATTATATGGCATTTCAATATTAATCTATATCAATAGAGTAAGTTTGAATAAAAATTGGATTCTACAAA